GCAGGAATGGCGAGACTCTACCCAGGTAAAGCAACTCCTTCCAACCTGAATCTGGCAACTTGGGCTCAGGCACAAATTTGATTTCAGAGACAAATATGAAGGCCAAAATCACAGGCTTCCTTTTTCCCTTTGGTCCCAGCTTGCTGCTGACCAGCTCTGTGGCCTCAACTGGGCCTCAGTTCATAAAACAAACTATTAGAGAGGCTTAAACTAGTGACTTCCATAGGTAACAGGTGTGACTGTGACAGACAGGGCCAACATTTTACAATTCTAGGTGGCCTTGGTTGCTGCCTACGTTCGCTTGTCCCACTGAGAGCCGCAAGCACTTACATCGAAGAGCTCAAATTCACTTTCAATAGAAGATGTGACTGAGGATACTTTCTTGGCATGAAAGCATTATTCTTCTTTGGAGCCAGGGTTTGCCCAAACACCTGCCAGAGGAAGAGAGACTGTGCAGTCACAGACACGTCACTGTCACAGGCTCTCAGTAAGACGTGTTAGTCATGGGGCAGGGCTGGAACTGCAGTCAAAGCTGCAGGAGGCAAGAGAGGTGTGGAGAGGTTTGCTGAGCCAAGCTGGTGGCAGAGCAGTCTAATTCCACCCTCCCCTGAGTGGTAGCCATTTACTTAGTTCAGATACTTCAGGGGAACCTCAAGTCAAAGCTTGTCACCAAAAGTCACTGAAATAGCCTGAATGTGCTGATGTTTGGTATTTAAAAACCGTTTTCTGGGGAATGGCTCTTACTCAGAAGTGAGGTAAGAATCCTTTATGAAGCAGATGCATTTCTGGTTCTGGGTCACCTGCTGATACCTTCCAGAAAGGCTTTCCACTCTGAAATCCTTGGCCTGAATGGATTTTAGTGCAGGGATACAGGGAAACCGGGGAGAGGAGGAGGTGAGCTCACGCTAAACTGCTCCTTTAGGAATGACTCGGGAAGTGTCACAGAAAAGAGAGAGAAGATATCAGAGCCTAAAGGAAACAGCTGGACGCCACACAGCCTCGGAAGA